TCAGGGCGCTGAAGCTGCTGGCAGCCGTGAAGGGCCCAGATGGTGGACCATTGGTCTAGGCATGAGTCTGCCATCTGGTGCGGCTGGCCCGCATCGTCGGTGAAGTCCAGTATCTCCTGCGTGGCTTTCACCTTGGAATACCGATGTGCCGGCTTAGCTCCTGAGAGGAATGCCTTCTGGGCCCAGTCGGACCAGTCACTGGAGGCAAAGGCACTAATAGCATGGATAACCTTCTCCACTTTGGCCAATATCCGCTCAGCCCTGTCGAGGAAGTCCGTGGCATAGAAGGTCGTGGCCACATCAGCTACCTCCACCTGGCCCTCAGAGTCCAGCAAGTCATGAACCCATTTAGCCTTGGCCACCCGACAGAAGAAACCCTGCATGTCCCAGGCAAATTTGGCCAGGAGGTGACGTTCCTTGTTTGCATCAGGAGTGTCCTCCCAGGCACCGCGATTGCCGAAGAGATCAGGCAAGAGGCGTGCTGAGTAAACTCCTGGGCCCTCCTCACTGTTAACGACGCGCTCGACACACGTGAGCATCCGAGTATACCGCGATCTCATGTGGCGAAACCATCTGCCGAGCGTCTTGTAAGCTTGAAGTCGCTTAGGGACGGGTGGCTGTAGTGGCTCAATGCGCTTCCAAACCCAATCTGCAGGTCCAGCACGTCCTTGGTATCGGCGTCGTCGGTGTGGCTGCGCAATATCATGTCGATCCAGAAGTTCATGCTCCAGCCCACAAAGCACTGCATCCCAAGCTACTGATAATGACTGCGCGCGTTCACTGGTCACGATAATATGTTCTGCCCTGGCCCACCTGGCCACGGGCGGAAAGCGCGCGCATCCTGGCAATGGAATCGTGTTGACTTGCATTGGCTCGACTGGCACGCGTGCCCACATGTGGTGCTCGGGGGCTTCCAAAGTCAGCTTGACTGGCAAGTGAGGGTACGTCGTGGCATCTTCCAGGACTTGGACACCTCGGGCCTTAAGAGCGAGCCCACTGGACAGGCAGAAGTAGTCGAGGGTCGTGCCTGGCTTGGCGCTCATGCACGTGGGTTCAGCTGGCACCTAGGAGAATCCAAAGACAGAGTTGAAATACTCGGTGAGCAGCTCGGGCGCCATATTCCAATCACCAGCAAGAGCCCAATGGCGCAGATGCACGTTCAGCATGCTGATGTACTTGGCTAAAGCAGTGACTATCTCCAGGTTATCATCGTGCAACTCAATTGAATCGACCAAGTAGATTGAGATGGGAACCACACCCTTATCAGGTCCCCAGTGGAGATGCGACACCAAGACACGACCTGGGACTAACTCAGGCCCTTCCAAGCCTGGCCCAAGACTGACACGAATGCGCTTGGGTGCAAGGACCGCGAGGCCCCCGTAAGTGCCCCCTTTGCCCGTGTCGGGCGGAGTAGCCCAAAGTCCTGAGAAGCCCAGGCGGGTAGCAGCCGCTTGTGCATCAGGACGGTGCTCTCGGTCGGCGTGATGTTCCTGCACCAACACTATGGAACTGCTGCAGCTGGGCATGCTGAGTACTTCAGTCAGCGCCCCATGTGAAGAAATATTGGCTGTGACGACGCTGCACACTGGAACAGCTCCTGCTCCTGTATCAGCACTTGCAAGCATAGCGCAGAGAAGGCAGCCTTCAATGCGACCGCGAAGGTGTTGCGCACCTCCACGTTGAAGGCCAGGTGAAATCCGACCTCCAGCGTCCTGGCGACATGTTTGTTTTTTTTTAGCCGCATCGGGCGCAACGCGGGTAGGAGGAGACGCAGCAGGCCTGCGCGCCACAGCAGTAGGTTGTCACTGCCCAACACACTGTAGCTGCTGGCCCACCACTGCATACATACTGCCATGGCCGTCGCCGCATACGAAGACCACGTTCCCTTCTCTGCTCGCCTGGTGCCCGCCCTGCCGACCCCGCGTGCAGGCGCATGGCCACGCGGGCCGAGAACTTTAAGGCATAGCCACCAACGCGTATCGGGGGATGGGCGGCGCGCGAGTGAGTGCACGGGCAGTGACTGAAACCGCCAACAAGACACAAGCTTGGAAGTCGTAGCCGCGCACGAAGTCCACGATGCCTTCTCTGCTCGCCAGGTGCCCGCCCTGCCGACCCCGCGTGAAGGCGCATGGCCACGAGGGCCGGGAACATTAAGGCATAGCCACCAACCCGTATCGGGGGATGGGCGGCACGCGAATGAGTGTAAGGGCAGTGACTGAAACCGCCAGCAAGACACAAGCCTGGAAGTCGTAGCCGCGAACGAAGACCACGTTCCCTTCTCTGGTCGTCAGGTGCCCGCCCTGCCGACCCCGTGTGAAGGCGCATGGCCACGAGGGCCGAGAACTTTGAGGCCTAGCCACCTACGCGTATCGGGGGATGGGTGGTGCGCGAGTGAGTGCAAGGGCAGTGACTGAAACCACCAGCAAGACATAAAGCCTAGGGCGAACCACGTCAGGAAGGCGAGCATGCAGACCGAAGGCTCAAGCCGCCATCTTGCGCCTCTTGGCGTAGTCGTTGGCCACCTCAGCCATCCGCTTGACCCTCGCACGGACTTCGGCCTCCTCTGCTGGCGGCTCGATACCGGCTGCGGTGAGGTACGAGCGCAGCTCCTCAATGTCGTCGGTGTCCATGGGGACTGCGGCTGCTGCCGCCTGCTGCTGCTCCTGCCGCTCCGCCTCAGAAGCCTGCCCAGGCTGCTGGCCTGGGGGCGGCGGCTCCGATGCAGCAGGCGCGGCGGCGGCTTGCGCAGCCGCCTTGGCCTGCAGCTCGCGGAGCGCATCGAAACACCATGGCCTTGAGTGAGTAGCTGCCTGTTGCAACCGTGGGCGCTTTGAGCGCCACTTGTACTCTCTGGGACTCGAGCCCGGTGATCTCTTGCTCCAGCTTGGCGAGCTCCGCGGTGGTCTCTCCAATGAGCAACTCCAACTTTTCCTTGTCTGCCTGCTGGTTGGCCAGCTTGTCTTCCAGCTCGGACTGTTGGCGCTTGCGCTGGTCGATGCGGGTCGTGTAGTGATGCGCCTGCGACGAGAATGGCTGGCTGGCAACAATACGTCCCTTGAGCTCATCACGTTCGCGCGCGAGCTCGTCATGAGCCCGCACCACGGCCGCGTCCTCGAGGGAGCCAAGGGCCTTGAGGGTGGACGCGATCTCGCCCAACCTCCTCTGCTCGACGTTGGTTGGCTCCGAGAAGAGCGGCTCCTGACTGGCTGCAGTGCTCGCACCCGCCGCCTGGAGCTGGGCCTTGAGTCGAATGATCTCAAGGTCCTTGGCACGGAGCTCCTTCTTGGCGTCGGCGTCCTTGGGCTTGGGTGGCGGCGGCTTGGCGCGTGTGCTGGGCAGCACAGGCGCTTTGTTGCCACCGAAGGCGACCCCTTTGGTGCACGAACACATCGAACACGAGAGTAACTCTGCCTTATTCCACCACTTCTCGCCTGTCTTGGGGTGTACGCACCAGCGGCAGTGCCATGCCTGTGCCCAGGCCCGACGGGCGGCAGCCCCAGAGCCATGGGAAGGCGGTCGCCCGCCATTGGCCATGTCACACCTGCGACAGGAGAGGTCAAGAATGGGAGCGATGCTGCGTGGCCTGGGCGGCACGCGCAGCGGTGCGATGAAAGAAACTGAACACTGGCCGCGGACTAGCGGTATCCACTTGTTTCCTTTGGAAAGCCAAAACCTTGAGCCAAAATGGCTACGGACGGTAAGGTGGGAGAGAAGAAGGAGGGAGGAGGGAGGAGTGGCCAGGGTGGGAGGGTGTGGTGGGTTGGCGGAGGGAGGAGGGAGGGAGGGAGTGTGGGACGGAATGAGGGAGGCGAGCGGGAGAAGAGAGGAGGGAGCAAATGGACGAGGGAACAGGAAGGATCACCGCTCGACACGAGGCCAGCATGACCCCTTCTAGCGAGCCCTCTCTGCTGATCCTTCCTCCTCTTCCTCCTCCACCTCCACCTTGTCCTCCTTCCTTCGTCTTCTTCCCCTCTCCACCACCTCCTCCTTCCTTCTCAACTCCTCATCCTCCCTCTCCTCCTCGTTCCCTTGGTCCACCACCTCCATGCTACTCCCTTCATCCTCGCCCTCCCTCCTCCCCCTACTCCTAGGCGGGTCGTTCGTAATCATCCCTCCCCTACTCGTCCTCCTATCCCTCCTTCAAATCATCATCATCATCATCATCATCATCATCATCCTCATCCTCATCCTCATCCTCATCCTCATCCTCATCCTCATCCTCATCCTCATCCTCATCCTCATCCTCATCCTCATCCTCATCCTCATCCTCATCCTCATCCTCATCCTCATCCTCATCCTCATCCTCATCCTCATCCTCATCCTCATCCTCATCCTCGTCCTCATCCTCATCCTCATCCTCATCCTCATCCTCATCAGCAGCATCAGCATCAGCATCAGCATCAGCATCAGCAGCATCATCAGCCGCATCAGCATCAGCATCAGCATCAGCATCAGCATCAGCATCATCAGCCGCATCAGCATCAGCATCAGCATCAGCATCAGTATCCGCATCATCATCATCATCATCATCATCATCATCATCATCATCATCATCATCATCATCATCTCATCATCATCATCATCATCATCATCATCATCATCATCATCATCATCATCATCATCATCATCATCATCATCATCATCATCATCATCATCATCATCATCATCATCATCATCATCATCATCATCCATCTTTGTGATCGCTCTCCTTCTCCTCGTCCTCCTGCTTCTATTTCTCTTTCCCCTCGTCCTCCTCGTCCTGGTGGCCGAGGTTGCCAGCAAAGTAGGACCAGTGTGGGATCCGTAGGCGCGCTCAGGCGCGCAGCCTGTGTAGAGATTCGAAGAGGAGCGTACCGTGCCTCCGGGGCGCTCCGCTGGCGGTGGCACATCGGCCTCAGCAGCTCTGGCGTGCGCTCCAGCTCCCGCTTCCCTCCTGCCCTGCCCCCTCCTCCGTGCCCCCCGCCGCCCTCGTTCCTCCCCCCCGCTCCGCCACGAAGCAGGTGGGTCCCGCAGCTCCCCGGATGGGCTGGAGGTCGCAGAGCCGAGACATCGAGGTGCCGCAGAAGGAAGCGCCCCTCCCCGGCTGGGCTGCCATGCTCGGGTCGGGCGAAAGGAAGGGGAGGGGCGATAGGGAACGGGGGGGGGGAGGGGTCCTCCTCCTCCTCCTCCTCCCCTCCTCCTCCTCCTCCTCCTCCTCCTCCTCCTCCTCCTCCTCCTCCTCCTCCTCCCTCCTCCTCCCCCCCTCCTCCCCCTCCTCCTCCTCCTCCTCCTCCTCCTCCTCCTCCTCCTCCTCCTCCTCCTCCTCCTGAGTACGAGATCTGCAGCGTGCAGCTGGTTTCGGTCCATCCGCCTGGCGCCTGCCTCGACGCGCTTGCGCCTCTTAGACGCCGGGAGGAGCGGGCGCTGGGAGAGCTGCTGGTGCGTCGGCTACACGTGAGAGTGACCCTTCGCCGGAGTGACCTTTGGTGCGGGCTCACATCGGGAGCCTTCAGACTGGGGTCAAGGCAAACGGGGGTCAGCCAGAGCGCCGGATCTTGCAGGATCCTGCAGGGCCAGGGTCGCACTGGCCCGGGCTTGGGTGCAGGATTCTGCAGGATCCTTCGCGTTGACGCGGGTTTGGGCGCAGGATCTCGCAGCATTCTGCAAGGCTTGGCTGACCCGGGTCTGGATTGACCTGGGTCAGGAGATCCCCGATCACAGGGCCCCCCCCCCAGCACTGGCCTGCGCCTTGATCTGGACTGCCCGCGGCCCCCTGAAGCCGCGCACCAGAGGTCACTCTTGCCTACCCTGGGTTTCTTGCTTAGCGTGGGGGGTACCTCACCGACGGGGGTCAACCTCACCTCGTCGTCGCGCTGCGACGGAGGTCGGAGCGCCTTCGGCGCGCGGTGGCTGCCCGCGACGGGGGTTGACGTGGGGCTGTCGGCGGGGGTGACGCCCCCCCGACGCTTATCAAGAAGCCCAGAGCAGGGTCGTCCCTCTTGCGTGCAAAGCCGGATTCGCTCCCCCCCCGCCCCCTTTACTGCCCCCCTGTCTTGCTCGACGCTACAGGTAGGAGAGGACTGGGGGGGGGGAGCAGGAACGCAGACCGCCTCGCGCTGCGAAAAAAAACACGACGGGAGGCTCCGGGCGAGTTTTTTTCGGCCTCCGGCTCCCAACGCGCTCGTTGCAGCGGCAGCGAGCAGATGCGTGCCTCGGTTAGCGGTAGGTTCGTGTCACGTCGGCGCGGTGGCGACCCCAGCGCGGGGGTTCGAGACTGGACGACGCCAGTCGCATGGAGTCGGCCGACGTCGAACGATTCGAGAATCGGAGAGCCGCGATCATTAATGCTGAGCGATCCGCTGGGTGTCAGGAACCATCGCCGACGTCGTCACGACATGAGCCTGCCGAACGGTCGGGATCTCCAATGATGATGATGCTCATGATGATGGTGGTGGTGGTGATGATGATCGTGGTGATGATGCTGCTGCTGACGACGATGATGACGATGATGAGATGATTTTCATGATGATGGTGGTGATGATGATGCTGGTGATGATGCTGCTGCTGCTGATGATGATGATGTTTTGTTAAACGACGTGGAACTTTACTTCGCTTCGGCCGTAGCCAACAGATTTCGCTAGTCAGTTGCAATTTGAACGCCGCTGGCTTGCATCCTTGTCTAGAATCTGTCTGGCTTGCCCCAGGCAGCTGTGTTGTGCTCATCGGGCCAGACGGCTCTGCCAGCTCGCATACTCTGCAGGCTGCGTGCCAGCATCTTCTCCTACAGGCGATGCCCGCCGCACTGTGTTTTCGGATTCGATCGGGCCCGCCCATGTCGCGTCGGTCTTGCGAGGGATGGGGCATGGGTTGTGCATGTAGCTCTCGCGCGATGGCTCGTTGCAGTACGGTTAGAGGGGCGGGATCCGTGAGAGGCCGTGGACGCATGCAGCCTGCGCGCCGTCGCCCACGCCGTTGTCGTCCTCTTTCGTGCCGCGCTGTAGAAGATATCGCGCCCGGCCGCGCCGCTGCGCGGTCGTCGCCACCATCTCTCGGGAGAAGGAGGAGGAGGAGGAGGAGGAGGAGGATGAGGATGATGATGAGGAGGCGGAGGCGGAGGCGGAGGAGGAGGAGGAGGAGGAGGAGGAGGAGGAGGAGGAGGAGGAGGAGGAGGAGGAGGAGGGGCCACGCCTTCCCAGCACGAGCGACGGTGCACCTGCCACAGCCGCCCCAGGCTGCACGCTCCTCCTGGGCGCGCCGCCGTGCCCCGTGTGGCCCGCGGCGCTGGAGCCCGGGCCCCCCGCCCGAGCCTGGCCGTGGCAGGCTTGCGGGCCAGCTTCCTGTTGTGGTCTGCGGTCTGGTGTGCACACCACGCCACCGGGGGTCTTCACGGGGCGAGTGCTTGAAGTTCCAACACCGTCGTGCCCTAGGTGGGGCGGCGTCGCGGCGTTTTCGGTCCAGTGTGGGCGCTGTCTCCCTCTCGGCTCCTCCCCCGTCGCTCCTCCCCCGTCCCTTCTCCAGCCAAAAAAACCGAGGCACTCCAGCACGGCGGCGCCGCTCCCTCGGCGCCACGCTCGCCCCATCGGCGGCAGGGCGGCGGAGGAGCGGCGGAGCCCGGCGGGTTCGGCGGCGGGTCCGGCGGCGGAGGTCCCCGCGGAGGGCCAGCGGAGGGCGGCGGTCCCTGGACATGTCGCAGCCTTCCACCTCCGCCCTCCCCTCTCCTCCCTCCCTTCCTACCTCCCCCCCTCCCTCCTCGCTCGCCTCGCTCGCCCTCCCTCCCTCCCCTCCCCTCCCTCCCTTCCCTCCCTTCCCTCCTCCCTTCGCGCCGGCCGGGAGCGCGCGCCCTAAGCGGCCGCCTCCACCCTCCTGCACCAGAGGCCGCAGGCGCGGAGGAGGTCGTCGTCGTGCCGGAAGGCGGTGCAGACGGTCAGCATCGCTGAGCCGCCCCCTATCCCCATGCCCATGCCCATGCCCATGCCCCTGCCCATCCAGAGCCCCGCCACCTCAGCACCCCAGCCGGGGATGCACCCCTGGAGCCCGGACGGGAACGGCCCATACCTCCATCTGGGGGGGTAAATCGGCCAGTGGGGCCCAGGCCACTCCGGAGGGGGTTGGGGTCAGCTAGACGATGCTCGGATGGAGCTGAGGCGGGCCGCGACCAGCCGTGACTCCCACACTCTCCGCCAGCGAGTCGCGGGCGCGGCTCGGGCTGCAGAGGTGACGGACACTGCAGTGCTGAGGCGGAGCTGTCACGTCGCGTGCCCCGGACACGGCGCGGGCACGGCTGCGGGCAGCGGCGCTGCCAGCGCGAGCCCTAGGGGCACCTGGAGCCTCGCGGTGCCGCACGTGACCAGTCAGCCGACCGCGTAGTCGGGGCTGGCGAGGAGGCCCCGTGCGGACGGGCTGGCGGACAGGGGGCCGAGGATAAGCGGAGGAGGCCCGAGACAACGCCGGCCGTCCCTCAAGGCCATGCGGGTTTGCCACTTTGTAGCGCACAGCGATGGGTCATCCTCGTCCTCGCCCACGTCCTCCTCGTCCTCAGTCGTTCGACGATATGTTTTTTCAGGCCTCGCCCTCAGACCTCCCGACCCTTTCCCTGGGGGATGTTTTTCGTCCCAGATTCGTTTCCGGTGGCACAGGGGTGCGACACGCCCCCCGGGTGCCAAAAAATCAGCGAAAAAACGCTGGCTGAAAAAAGCGGCACGCGTGCCCTGGCTCTTGCACCAAGGAGCTGCGAGGGACAGGAGGCTTTCGCCTCCTTCCTCCAAGGACGAACGACGAACGAACGAACGACGACGACGAAAAGAAAGAGGTCTGAGCTCTAGAACACAGCTGTGCAAGAGAATAATCCTGCCGTCGGAGGTCTCGGTCGCTCTCCCGATGCGCGGCCCTCGCCCTCCCCTGCGCAAGGACAGGGACGGCCTGCCAGTGGACACGTCCCTCTCCGACTCCGACGTCGAGGACGCTGGAGCCTTCTGCTGCCGGTGAGGGCTGCCCTGGCCAGCCTTGTCTGGCTGGATGCGAAGACGAGGCAGGGTTAAAGTCGGGCGCGTCCCTCTACAGGAGGAGTATTCAAAAATAGTCAAGAAATAGTCAGGGGACGATGTTTCGATTATCTTTGGACCATTTTTGAATATTTTTTGGCTATTTTTGATTTTTCCGCCAAAATCCGCCTGTAAGGGGACACGCCCGACCTAAGGCAGGGTCGGGAACTTTGGATTAATCAGCGTGTCGCGCCGCCAGTTCTGGCCCACCACGCTTCGGCGCGACACGCTAACCACGTCCCAGTCCCCGTGCGTCAACGTCCCGGGCATTTCCCAGCCGCCTCCCGCCCCGTGGAGCGGAGCGACACTGACACGCTATCCGCTCGCAGGGCACGGCGTTTCGCCGGGGCCGCCGCTGGTAATCAAAAGTTCCCGACTGTAGGTGGCTTACGTTTGTAATGCTGCAATGCTCGTTTCGAGTTATCGAGCCAATATGTGTAGATTGTACGATTTCAGCGTTGTACCGCGCCTTGTGGACAGTCACATGCCCCCTGCTGCTAGCAAGGCGCGTTCCCACTTATGACACATCCGTCCTTCTTTCGAGGGAAGAAGCACGAGGAACATGGCCAAGATGTCGCGGGATCTCGTCGATGCCGATCTTGATCATGATCCATGTCGGCCGTGCCGATTTGCGAGGATGATCCACGAATTGACGTCGACTAAGATCGGCGCTGACCAAGATCGACACGACATTTCCGCGTTCAATCTTGGTCATGGTCCCTGTTTTTCCCCCCACTGTTCTCGATGCCCGATGCGTCGAAGCGAGCATCTGAGTGTGACGACTCGCAGAGCCGCAGCCGGAAGTGTGCGCCCGAGTTGTGGGCGCTCGCGCTGCAGCTGGCGCTGCCCTCGGGCAGTCTTGCCGCTCCCGCTTCGCTGGCCCATCCCGGCCTTGCCCCTCTCCCGCCCCCCTCGCAAATTACCGAGGGAGGGGATGCCGGCGGCGCGCAACATGGTGGGGGCGCTGGAGGCTTTGGGGAGTGGGGGAGGCGTCAGCAAACTCTCGATTCGCGCCGGCGCGACCCGCCGGCGATCCGCGACCCCTGGCTTTTCCCAGACGGCGATCCGCGAGTCATGACGTTACAGGAGGAGGAGGAGGAGGAGGAGGAGGAGGAGGAGGAGGAGGAGGAGGAGGAGGAGGAGGAGGAGGAGGAGGAGGAGGAGGAGGAGGAGGAGGAGGTGGGGTGTGGGGCGGGGGGTGCCCCGGCAGCGAGCGTTGTGGCGAGCAGTTGCGAAACCAGCCTCCTGGTCTCCGCGCCCCCCCCTCGCCTCCGCCCCCCTCCCCCTCTCCTCCCGCTCGTCCTACAGGGGGGTTTTCGTCGAAAAACAAAAATACCCCCAAAACTGTAAAAAAATAGTCAAAAAATAGTCTGGGGATTGTTTTTTTGAGTATTTTTTGACCTTTTTGGGGTATTTTTGAGGGATTTTTGATTTTTCGTCGAAAATCCCCCTGCAGGGGGACACGCCCGACATAATCTTGCCTGCCCCTCGGGGTCCATCTCGATATACCGGGCCCGATGCAGTATCGATTCCAGTCGGCTCGGTGCGATTCGACCCTGAGATTCCCACGATCCGATGCGCCCCGATCCTGGCACTGGTGCTGATGTGCATCCTGGCGCCGCGGCCGGTCCGATCCGATTCCAGTGCGGCCCGATGCGGCGCACGTTCAGATTCGATGGGACTTCCCGATTCGATGCTGCCCGACCCTGTCCCTGCTCGAGCCCCCCCTCTTTCCTTCCCCCACTGCGAGAGCAGCGGGGCATGCAGAGATGGATGGTTCCCGATTCGATGTTGCCTGACCTCGTCTCTGCTCGGGCCCCCCCTCTTTCCTTCCCCCCACTGCGAGAGCAGCGAGGCAGGCAGAGTGGGGTGGCCACGCGCACCGCTGCTGCCACCCGAATTTGGCCGACTGCCCTACGAGGCCGGCGAATTCGCTGCTGGAGTCTGCTGCAGTAGACCTCGAAGAAGCAAGCATCGGCATGAACGTGAATTGTTGATTGGCACGCGCTTCATTATCTGGTACCGCAGTTTTGATTGACGTGACTCTGATGCTGTTTTGTGATGCCTCCCGCGCCTCTTGGCCGCGCTGAGCCCAGTGCCGCTCCGAGCTGGGCGCCGCTCACTTCGCTGTTCTCCCCTCTGCCTCGGCGCGGTCCGCCTTGGCTTGCACGGCGTTCGACTCGTCTTCGCGCGCCCGCGAACCCAAGAATGTATCCCCACCGGCCCATCCAGAAGCGATGCCCAGGGGGAGTTGAGGGGATCAGGGAGGCGGGAGAGCATGCGGAAGAAAAAAGGGCGGGGGAAGCCGTCATATACCCCAAGAGGGGGAGGATGTCGTCGTCGTCGTCGTCGTCGTCGTCGTCGTCGTCGTCGTCGTCGTCCTTGTCGTCGTCGTCGTCGTCGTCGTCGTCGTCGGAAGAGGAGGAGGAGGAGGAGGAAGAGGAGGAGGAGAAGGAGGAGGAGGTGGAGTAGGGCGAGGACGAGGAGGACGAGAAGGAGGACAAGGAGGATAAGGAGGGAGAGTTGGGTACCTCGGGGATCCTCCTGAGGCCTCGTATGGGGTCTCTTGGAGGCCTCGTGGGCGCCTCTAGGGGCTGCCTGGGCGCCTCTTGGGGCCCTCCTGGGCCGCTCTTGGGAGCTTTAGGGACGCTCCAGGGGCCATCTTGGAGGACATCGATCAAAAAAGAGGGGAACTTCAATTAGCCTCCCCCCTCGGGAGCACCGAACATCGCCTCCTGGACCCCTCTTGGAGCGCTTTTGGGGCGCTCTTGGGCGCTCTTGGGGCCGTCTTGGGGCTCTCTTGGGCCTCTCCTGGGGACCTCTTGGGCCATTTTGGAACCATCTTGAGGCCTCGGATGGCCATCGGAAGCGAAAAGGCAAGAAAGCAAACATCATTGTTTTGGGGGAACTCCTTGGAGGTCTCGGAGGCCTCTGGAAGCCGTCTTGGAGCGTTCTTGGGGCTTCTCGGAGCATCTTGAAAACCATCTTGAGGCATCTTGCGTTATCTTGAGCCATCTTGGAGGTAATCTTGGGCTTTCCGATTAGCTCTTGGAGCCGTCTTGGGCCATCTTGGACGCTCCAACTACTCGCGACCAACCCCGTCCAGGTCCAGGGGGTAGGGGGAGGGGTCAAGGCACCCCCTAGACAGCAAGGCGTCTAGCTCATTCCCATCCGCCCTCCCAACACATAAGTAACACCCGAGCCTGAGCATGTTCAGCGGTCGTCTTTGGATGGGCAACTACTGGGAACCAAAACCGATCCCATGTGCGCGACGCTGGGGCGAGGTGCGCGCCACGTGTGCCAGGCACCCCTGGGGCCCGAGCGTGCCAGGCACGCCTGGTGCGCCAGACGCGCCACGTGCTCCGCGTGCGCCAGGCGTGCCGCATATTCCAGCCGCGCCAGGTGTGCCACGTTCGGGGCACGTGCAGAGTGTGTCAGGTGCGCCTGTACACGTGGCAGCACACATCGGGAAACATGTCGGCCCCCACCATCCTTGTCGAAAACCAATGCTCATCATTTTGTTGGTGGGCCTGCGCGCAGCAGGCCATACGCTACCACCCCCGCCGTCCTTGTCAAAACTACTTGACAGTGATCGCGGGGTGGCCGCGCATGATCCAGATTTAGCCGCGAGGTGCATTTCGTATTTCCCCAATCAGTGCTTGCACTGAAGGGGTCCGAGCGGAGATTGAAAGATTCCTCTCGCTTCGCGGGGTGCACGTCCGGAGCACGTACAGTCACGTCGCGGGGCCTTCTGGGAGCCTCTTGGGGGCCTCCTGGAGGCCTCTTGGGAGCTTCTTTGGGCCTCTTGGGGACTTCTTCTGGCCTCTTCCCCCCCTTTTTTGACTCCCTCCCCATCTTCCCTTCCAGCGCTGGCTCTAATCATGGGCGCCGCCGTGACCAACTTCCACCTGGCTGGCGCTGCGCCGCAGTTCGTCCAGGGGGGGAAATAATATTACACTCCAGTCGCTATGTGGCCTTTGGGGGGCTTCTTTGGGGCCTTTTGGAGGCTTCTTGGGGACTTTTCGGAGGTCTCTGGGGGGCTTTTTGGGGCCATTTGGGGGCCTCTTGGTGGCCTCTTGGGGCCTCTTGGGGGCGTCTTGGGCCGTCTTGGGGCGCTTTCGCGCCGTTTCGCCCCTTCGGAGGCCGTCTTGGGGGCCTCTCGCGGCCGCCTTGGGGCCCTCTTGGGGTCCTCTTGGGCCGTCTCAGGGGTTTCTTGGACCGTCTTGGGGGCCTCTTTGGGCCGTCTTGTGGCCCTCTGGGGCCGTCTTGGGGCCCCCTTGGGTGTTTCTTGGGCCTTCTTGGGGCCATCTTGGAGGCTGCTCGGGCCGTCATGGGCTTCGGAGAGGTGAAAAAGGCGAGAAAGCTAAAATCTTTCAAAAACATAAGGAAAATCAATGTTTTTGGCCTCTGGAGGCGCTCTTGTGGGCGCTCTTGGAGCCCTCTTGGGCCGTCTTGGGTTCTTTGTGGGCCCTCTTGGGGCCATCTCGGGCCGTCTTAGGGCCGTCTTGGGCCGTCTTGGGGCCATCTGGAGCCGTCTTGGGGCCCGTTGAGACCCCCAAGAGGGCCAATGTGCCGAAATCATTGATTTCCCATACGTTTTGGTACGTTGTGGGGCCCAAATCATCGGTTTTCCATAGGTTTTTCTAGATTTTGAGGCCCAGAAGGGGCCCTCCTCCTGAGGGTCGATGGAAGTGGCGCGACTCCAGGGGGGGGGTTAGGGGGGGAGACATAATAATGTAACATGATACAATATGTAGGAATTATGCAAGCATTGGACACATTGGATCCATTGCATTACAGCATCCGCGGACCTGCCGGAGATTGAAAGATTCTACAGGCTTGCGCCACATCCGCCGACCCCTTCTGTGAGTCTTGCGAGGCCAGGAGTTTGTGGCCAGCCGCGTCTTGTGTGAGGGTGCGGTGTCGCGCGCGGGTGGTGGCAGATACGTAGGGGGTCCAAATGTTTGCGTGATGCCGGTGGCCTGGGGCGTGTTTTGCGAGCGCCTTGCGTGCTGTGCACCCGGGTGCGGGGTGTCCTTCTGGGAGGTCGGCCTTTCGACCCGCAACCAAGTGGAGGACCACCGGAAGACGAAAGGAGCAAGAGTGGTGCGCGGAAACTGTGATCAGCGAGGCATCACCGCGAAAGATGTGGCAGATGAGTCGAAACGGGTGAAGAGGCTGTCGACGTTTGCAGCGCGCACTAAACAGTTCGCGCGGCAGCAGCACATTAGCGCCGAGCAAGATAGTGAGCACTTCGCGAGGAAGAGTAAGGCTGTATGCGCGGAATGCATTGCAGTTGGCTTTACGGCTCGCAATGCGGAAGCGTCTGGGGGTCTTTGGGGGGCCTCCTGGGAGCCTCTTGGGGGCTCCGTGAGGCGTCTTGGCGGCCTCTTGGGGGCCTCTGGCGGCCTCTTTTAGTTGTTTGTCCTAAACGGTTGGACCCCGCCCTCCCCAGTCGGCTTGGGTTTCTCCTCTCCCTGCTCCTGCCTCTGCTTGCCCTTCCCTTTTCCTCTCTCCCGCTCAAGCCTTCGGGGCTCAAAGCCCTGGAGCCGACCTCAGGAGGTCTGGGCGCCCGCGGCGCCCGGAAGCGTGCGTGCCATGGCTGCCCGGCGCCCGGCGCTGGCAGGTGCGGCCCGCGGGCTGGCCGCGCTGGTCACCAGCGCAGCCGCCTACGACTGGCGCGGGCCCCTCAGCTCCGCTGTCGCCCGCGCCAGTTGGGGCCACCCGGCTGCGGCCCAGGAGGCCCCGTTCGGGTACACCGTGCCGTACTACGACGACTCCGAGTACGGCATGGAGATCGGCGAGCCCGAGGAGGAGGGTGGGGGTGCAGGCAGCCCCCAGGCGCCGCCCGACAGTGGGCCGCCGGGAGCGCCGCCCCCGCCCCCAGCCCAGGCCGCCGGAGGAGTCGACAATGGCAGCGACCCCACCAAGGGCCCGGGCAGCGAGGAGTCTTGGGTGGGCGGCTGGGGTGTCTGGGCGCTGGGATTGAAGCCACTACGTGCGGGCACCTGGGCCTGGCGCCTGAGTGGCATGGGCGGGGTCGCCTACGAGAAGCTTGACAGCCTTGGGAGCGCCTTCTCCACCCATGCCGAGACAGGCTGGCTGACCAGGGATGGTGGGTGGTTCTTCTATGCTCTCGAGAAGCTGGGCCTGACGGTCTTCGGGGCCGCTTGGCCTGCCGTGGCATGGACGTTCATCCTCTTGGCTTTCCTGGCGGTGCTGGCTTTCCTCACTCACATCTGTCGTACCCTACTGGCCCCCTGCGCAGCCGCCCTCTGGCTGATCGGTCTACTGGCGCGGTGCACCAAGTGTCGCCGGCGAGAGCCTGGCGATGCAGCTGCCGAAAGGTACCTGCCGCCGGCTCCGCCTGCCCTTACCCAGATCAATTGGGTGGGGCCAGAGACCGGACCAGCCACGACCACGGAGTACTACAGCAAGAAGGTGAAGGGTCGTGGGACTGGGAGGCGACCTAACGACGTGCTGATCAAGATCGACGACCACGTGGCCCGGTTGAAGATCGACCTTTCGGAGCCCAAGCGGATCGACCGGAAGGGCCTCTGGATAGACTACCTGGGCGTGAAGGGGGCCAGCTCACGCGCACTCCGTCAGAAGCTGGAGTCGCTCGAAGGCCGTTCCATTCACCTGTGCCGCAACCTGGTTTGTAGAGATCAACCTGGAGAAGTTCATTGTAAAGAGTACGCTGCCTTGGATTCCGAGGCGATCGTGGACATCGGCTCCCACGCCAGGTTCACCTCTTGCCGGGGCGTCTTCCTGCTCTGGCGGACCGTCGCCGACCTGGGGAGGGGCATCTGGAAAGTGATCGTGTTCCTTTACTGCATCCTCTCCTGCGGTTGCTCCTTTTGCTGCCGGCGACGCCGCCGTCGCAAGACAGGCGCTGCGGAGCCAGGCGTTGCAGGGGGCATCGCAGAAGTTTTGGATCAGGAGTCAGAGT